ACAGATTTTATCGCGTTTAATTTAACTTTTTAATTCCCGACGTTTCAGGGTGCTTTACAGCACCCATGGTCACGGGGGTCTATAGTCAACTATATGTTCTTTTTGACTTGACGTGTATGAACATGTTCAAGATCGTCCTCGCCATTATATTAGATTTGATAGACTAGACTAGAGATTCGCGAGGCCATTGAAATTAAACAACATCCTAATTTCAATAGAGAAGATGGATGGGGGCTGCCATCCTCTTGGGATCCCATAATTAATAAAATTAAATCCAAACCCAAGTATACCACTGCAAGACTTCAAGATACTGTAGCTCATTCTGCGTAGATCGAACCAAAAATTAATATTCAAAAACTGAAGGTAGCCGGGCTAACTTTGACATCGGGACGTCAAACACCTCAGCCCCACGAATGAATGAATGTCCAGGGTACGATGATTAGTAATTATTATGGTTGTAGTATCCACGAACGGGTTGGCTCGACCGGGGTAGGACCACGCTCTCACAGAATACCAGCGTGAAATAGCAGCTTAATGCTTAATGTGTTTCGTATGGTGAGTGTAGAGAACCCTTTTTACCGGAAATGAAGCATTCCATCTTAGTCCTCAGGGGTGACAATGCATGTGTATTTTGATTTTTAATCGAGGATAAATGTAGATGTCGATGGGCCAACAACATCCACTTACCATCAGATGGACTGCGTGCTTTCGTTTATCACCCTTATTTTCTCTCCTCACTCTGCAGCTATATTAATAGCATTGTTGTAGCACGAATGGGTCGGCTCGACCGAGAAAGGACCACGCTCTCACAGAATACCAGCGTAAAATAGCAGTTTAACACTGCTGTGTTTCGTATGGTGAGTGTAGAGAACCGGAGACCCTTTCTACTGGAAAAGAGGCATTCAATCTTAGTCCTCACGGGTAACAATGCATCTGCATTTTGATTCGCAAACGAGGATAGATGTAGAGATGTCTATGGGTCTCAGCAACCACTTACCATCAGGTGGACTGTGTGCTCGTTTGTCACCTTATCCTATAAAAAAAATTTACTACTGTAACGACCTAAGGTTGCTCGTACTTTATGCAAGAAACAATAAAACACGTCTTCAATAAAAATAATAATATGCGCAGGTTTGGAAACATTGGTGACACAGCACTGGTGATGCTCTATACACCGGCCGTGCCAATATTTCTCAGGAAAACGTCGCCGAGTACCGGAACAAACTTGTGTCTGAAGTCGAGTCTTTGCTGAACAAAGTCTCGGATTGGGGACGACTAAAACTAGTCCAGTTTAATCCTCAGAAGACACAAGTTTGCGCGTTTACCGCTAAAAAGAACCCCTTTGTCGTATCTCCTCAGTTTCAAGGCACTCCCCGTGTTGCCTAAGACAGTATCGGAATCCTGGGCGTCGACATATCGAGTGACGTGCAGTTTCGTGGTCACTTGGAAGAGAAGGCCAAATTGGCCTCTAAAAACCTTGGCGTGCTCAGCAGAGCGGGACAGTAGACAGTACAGCCGCCAAATTTCACGAACGCACATCGCGGCAGAACTCCCGATAGTATCCACACCATCTGGATGATTGGCGGTCCACCACTGTGCGATTTAGAAAATGTTTTCTTCCTCGCACAACTTCCTTGTGGAATCGATTACCATCAGCGATTTTCCGGACCGACACGACTTAGGGACCTTCAAGAAAAGAGCCTACTCCTTTTTAAAGGGCCGGCAACGCATCTGCAATTCACCTGGTTCCCCTGGTGTTGCAGTTGTTCATGGGCGGCGGTAGTCACTTGCCATCAGGTGAGCCGCATGCTCGTTTGCCCCCTCTCCTATAAAAAAAAATAAAACACTGAAATGAAAGCCAACAAGATCAAAATTCAAATTCTTAAATAAAATAATGGATATTTATAATAACTTCCGGTCCCTCTTAAAATAAAATTTAAGACCAATGTTGCTGTTAAGTGTATGAAGATAAAGTTGTTTTAGTATGATGCATAGTATGATGCACATGATTATATCGTTATCTACGGCACTTACCGATCAGCTTGACCGGGGAAGAACCCGGTTCGCTCACAAAGGCGGAGCTGCCTAGTCTAGCAGCTCATCGGCACCTCTCTGGGGGTTATATGTTAAAAATTGTATCTAATTATTTTGATAATAAAGTGCAATTTTAATTTTTATTAAACTATATTATATTTATAATATAGTTTAATTACAAAATATTTAGGACACGTAACAGTAGTGTGATCGTAAGAGAGTGAGTGCGATCAAGTAAACGGAGCGCGCTTTGGAAGCTCTACACCTCTATAGAAAGTATATATTTTTTTTATTTTATGTAAGTAGGTACTTTTTTTCGTTTAAAAACTTCTTCGAGCGCGTTTTTGTAACCTTGCGCCCCTAGCCATGCACCTAGTTTGCCTAGATGAAATGCGGACCGAGAGACTTGAAAATTAGGTATGTGAAGAAGCTATCGCTGTCGCTCTGCGAGCGCTCGGCGTCCAATATGACAACTGCAGGTCCGACTGAATAGTCTAACTAAAAAGGCATAATTCGAGGTTTGGCTCTCTACCATTTCCTCCGCCAATATTGGACCAATATAAGAGATATTTCATAAATTGAATAAGAAGGATATACAGTGTCCCTATTTTTTTCTTTTTTCAACATTTTTAAGCATTTTATAAGGGTTCTAGTGCTTGTAAAGATAATGATATATCATCAAAAAGTAAAACATAGGGAGATAGAAGAGATTGATATTTATTTTGCTGTAAAAACTCATTGCTATAAGGTCATAAACCAGAAAGAAAACAATCGAGAGCGTTTGTATGGAGAAAAGACCACCCTAAGGATAATCCGCCACTGACCACACAGAATACCAGTGAGAAATAGCAGCATAGTGCTGCATTTCGTATGACGATTAACGCGAACCGGAGACTTGGTACTGGCATTCCATTTCAGTCCACGGGAGCGAAGAAACATTAGCATTTTGAATCTTATTCGGTGATATTGTACGGTCAAACGACTACATTTTTGCTTGCACGGCCTCGTGCGTTGGAACTTCTTTTAACTTTTAAACTACCGAAAGATCGTTACATAACAGTGCATTATTGGTTCTACGAGCTGGATAACTGACTCTCATCCAGGAGGCTCGGGTATGACCCCGCAGTTATATATATAATACAATAAAGTTGTTCGGTTGCCCAAGAATAAGACCGTAGCAGAAAAACCATTGTTTCTTATTATATAACAAATCCGAACTATCATGTGCGTACTTAATAACAGCGGGTTCACACTTCACACATGCTGTTTACCGATACGTTTTTTTTAAACGGTTTCTAGAAGCGTATGCAAATATATGGCTGTATTCGCACCGTACATACAAATCTAATGTAAATAAAAATATATATAAAAAAATAAAAGCGTCTCGTTTATTTATCTTGTCACTGAAAATCGTGAATAGCGTTCGTCAAAGATACGAAACGGTCTCAGTGGTCGTAGTATCTAAACGTAAGAATTCACACAGGTGGGTTTCTGTACCATAAGATGTCATACTATATTATAATAGGATTGTTAACTATATAATATATTATCCTACTACATATAATGTAGTAGCCTTTGTTCCCGCCGAAATTTGGGCGGTGCTGCAGTCCTTTCAGCGGTGCCAAGTTCACTGTAGGTATATCGAAGTGCTGAAGTGTTTGTACAGCAGGCCTACGATGGTTATCCGAGTACAGAACCAGAGTACGAAACCTATCCAACTGCAGAGAGGTGTAAAACAGGGTGACGTCATATCCCCGAAACTCTTCACCGCTGCATTGGAAGACGTTTTCAACCTTCTGGACTGGAAAGGATGCGGTATTGACATCAATGGCGAGTACATCACTCACCTTCGATTTGCTGACGATATAGTCCGTATGGCAGAATCGCTGGAAATTATAGTATCCACTATATTTTTATTATAATTGTAGACGAAAATAGTGATTTGAAACATACTATTTTTTTCGTCATCTACTATTCCATTATTGCATTATGTATATACATGTGTAGAAAAACGAATTGATTATACCGTTAAAGTGTGAACGTTCCTTTATTGCTCGGATGTCCTGATTAAATAGTACTGCAGGACCCAAAACCACCACCCCTGAAGTACAATATATTTAATAAAAAGAGAATCATCTAGATCGGTTCACAATATAGACAAAGATATCGCGTTAACATTTATAAAAAAAAAACATACTATCAAATTGTAAACCTGCCCCTTTTTTATAGTTGGCTAAAAAGATACGTGTGTTCGGGGTAACAATCTAAAAACAATGTAATGTATGGAGGTGTATACTCTTGAAATTTTAAATTTTAACAATCTTTTTCATAAACTAGTAAGTACCTATATTACCGTCCCACACACGAGAAAACTTTTCAATTTCGTTCTATTTGTCTGTACAGGATTGTATTTCTACGAATTTATTCATAATTCAATAAATATACTTAGGTACTTCAAAACAACAACATGTCATGGAAGGTTTTCAATGACTTGTTATTGTTTTGAATGAATTTTCCGCTTGCGTTTTAGTTCGGGTTAAAGACATTTATTTCTCAAAAAGAACACATTGTTCACTTTTACAGAGATTAGTTGAGAATATAATTAAAATTTTAAATAGTTTAATTTTGCAATAATCAGTACCTGTTACTTATTTACTTTAAAATGATGATTTTAATGACAGTTTATCTATCTGATATCCATAAGGCGTATTGTAACGATATGAAAGGTTGCATGAAGCAGGATTTAGCTAGGAATGTGCGATGTACGTTGCGCATAAGAGTTTTTCCGGAACTATTTTATAAATACAATGCGGCATTTTAACCATTTATCTCACTGTTCCAAAGAATCTAGGACGGTTGGCAGCCTTACTAGTTGCTGTTGTTTTATGTTGAGAAAGTATATAAACATCCCTTAAAACCTAAAATTAAAAAATAATAAAAAATAAAATCTTTTCAACCAATTTCAGGTCAATTCTCGTATAGCTCAAGCGGAGTACGCATCAGCGTGTCTTCAGTACCTCACGATGAAGACTCCACTGATGCCGAAATCTCCAAGATCGACTTCACGCAGCATCAATACGAGGTATGGCAAATAAACCGCATAGATTTTAAACATTAGAAAATAGGATATGAACTCGATAGCGTCCCCCGACTACCAGCTGTGCGATTGTGTAACTCTGGTGTTAATCGTGATCGGCTTCGTAATTCGTCGTCGTAAAATATGAAGTAGCCATTTTAAACGTCTATATTATTTAGTGATACTGGTAACTTATAAAACCGACATTTTTTTATTGCAGGTCAACATGCGGAATAAAAAGAAGCGTTCATCTAGTGGCGTTCAATGTGACAGTCAAAGTAACGAACGCGAGCGCCCCATGTCATGGGAGGGCGAACTGTCCGATTCCGAAATGGTCATCGACACCAGCGTCAACAACGGTATGAAAACATATTATATTATATTTAGTGCTCGCTTGTCTCCCATATTCTATAAAAAAACAAACGTTATCAAAATGTATTTGTTTGCATTTAAATTTACAGCAAAGGAGTGGAATAAGTTGCCAGCATCTGTCTTTTCATCCGATTAAAATGTGGGTGTCTTCAAGGCAAGAAAGAATAGGCTTTTGTTAAGTCAGTGCGCTTCACCATCTTAGGCTACATCACCACTTACCATTAGGTGGGATCGTAGATAAGCGCTGACTTAGTAGAATATAAAAATATATATAAAAAAATTCATGGGATAAGAGTGACAAGAGAGCTCACAGGTCACCTGATGGTAAGTATGTGCTACGACCCATAGACATCTACATCTATCCCCGATTAAGAACCAAAATGCAGATGTGTCACCTACGAGGGCTAAGATGGAATTGCCTTGTTATACCAGTAAAAAGGGTCTATAATATATATTATTGCTTATATCGAGGTTATAATGTAGTTTCTATGTTGTGGATGTTGTGGCCCATAGACATCGACAACTGTCTTCGATTGAGAATCAAAAAGCAGATGCGTTGCCACACCTGAGGAAAGAGTCCAGTAAAGAGACAGGTCACCCCTTGAGGTTCTCTATAAACATCATTCGGAACACAGCAGCATTTATGCTGGTATTCTGTGAGAGCATGGCTCTACCATGTAGAAGTTATACCATTTACATACCGAAGGTTGCCATTAGTAGATGACGTTGATGGCTAATATCTATAATAGCTTCTTACATTATGTGTTGCAGATGAGAACAGCAGTTCCATTGACATGCAGTCATCTCGCGACTCCATCGACACTCTCCGCAACGTCACCATTAAAACTGAACCTCTTAAGCCGGAAGCCTTTCAGAGCTTAGACGATCAAAGGGTATTGGATCTAAAATACTCCACGCCGCTACAGTCGCATCAACGGAGCCTCAGTATGAATAGGGTAAGCCATTATGAGCCTTATTAAATTCACTTTTTTATAGAATAAGAGTGACAAACGAACACACAGTCCACCTGATGATAAGCCGATGCCAAGCCCCATAGACATCTACTAAGATGGAATCATTAAACAGGGTCTACAGGTAGGTATATACACTCACCATACGAAACACACTCATATCTATTAAACAAGGTCTACAGGTATATACACTCACCATACGAAACACAGCAGCATTTAGCTGCTATTTTACGATGGTATTCTATGAGAGCTTGGTCCTTCCCCGGTCGAGCCGACCCATTCGTGGCACGACCACAATATAGCTGCAGCATGGCTACCGGATATGGCCCTTTCTAAGAGTGAACCAGCTGTGAGCATTTATCGAAACAACGCCATCTACCAGAAATGAAAACAATCTGTTATATTTGCAATTAACAGTGCACCTTTTACTTTCAGATATCAGTTCTGACAGACAACACGTCCCTTTCACTCTCTCGGCGGCCTTCGTCTCCTACAAACAGCGCCAAGTCTCTGGTTCTGAACGACCAGACCACATTGCCGCTGATGACGCCCAACGTGGTTGGAGAGGCACAGAACTTGACTATAAAGAAAGAAACTCAATTATCAGGTACTTATACCGATTAATTAAATAGTAAATTTACTATACATAATTAAAGTTTTGTAGGTGGTAGGACTGATTTTCTGCCTAGAGGTCCGTGCGGGTAGGTACCACAGTTACCATACTCATATCTATTTCTGCCGCCAAATAAAATCTAAATATTATTGTTAACTAGTACAATCACAGGCTGTGAATCATTTCATCTTAGACCTATAACATCGAGAGAATGTCGTCTAAGTAAGTCGTTAATGTAACTAATTAAAAACTTAATCATGAATTTTTCCACTATTTGGGGAGAAATATTTCCTTAGAAATTACATGAAAACAAACAAAAGAGCAGGTTCTTTCTTAGCGAAAGGACTATATAAAGACATTCGGTGTGGATTCGCAGGGCTATATTATGATAAAGAAAATGTTTTTTTTTTTTTGGTTAAACATAAACTAAAATTGTATTTTGTTACTATTGCAAAGTTACTTAAATATCTTTTATTAAAAAAAAAATTAGTAAATAATATTTTTAGGGTTTTCAAATAACTTACGCATAGATTACGAACCACAATATGTATTTAAACTAAATCCGCCTTATTCCAAAACACGGACTTAATATAGTACTGGAGTTAGTAATATATTTAAACCATAAACTAAGAAAAACGTTATTACAAAACGAAGATTATCTCTGGTTCAAGGATTATCTATGGTATTAAAGTTAATCTTTCGAGACCCCTAGTTTAGCTATGGTACTAACCTTTCTATATAGTTTGTGGTACTCTATACTAACCTCAATTTCGGTACTTCTTAATTTGAGGTGAGCGTTGTTTTCATTTGGTGTTATTAAAATCGTTAAAAATGGATATTAACATGATTGACTTGATGGATTTAGAAGATTTGGACATGCTAGACACCACTCGGCGACCTGATAGACATCGACATCGTGTGAATCCGTTTGAATTGAGTGACGAAGATTTTAGGTATAAGTATAGGTTCTCAAAACGTTTCGGAGAAAAAATAGTGGGTATCTTACGTGAGGATTTAGTGCACGACCCTCGAGGATGCCCATTGAGTCCTGAAATTCAAGTGGTTTGTGCATTACGCAACTGGGCTCGCCATGAAGTAAGTGCTGTTTATAATCTTGGTGGGGTCAATGTACCTAACATTACGCTAGATAAAAAGCCAAATAATACATATTATTGTTTTATTCGTAGATTCAAGACGATACAGCTGATTTACATGGTGTGTCTCAACCAGTAGTAAGTAGGACATGTAAAAAAGTAGCGGAAATTTTGTCACGGAAGCCCTGAGAATTTATTAAAATGCCTACTACTTTAAATGAACAGCAGGAAACCATTAGGAAATTTCGCAGTATTGCTAATTTTCCTACAGTAATTGGCGCAATTGACTGTACTCACATACGAGTAAAGAAAGTGAATGCTGATGGGGGTCAGTTATATATTAATAGAAAAGGATTTTCTTCAATTAATGTACAGGTAATATACAAATATTTTAAATAGCTGTGATTGTCTCTTAATAACTTTACTTTATCATAATAGAAAATAATTTGTTTGACTATCTTATGGTAATAAATATATATTAAAATAAACCAGAAAAACATAAAGTACTAATGAGCTCTTATTTTACAGGTGGTTTGTGACGCTGACCTGAAAATCATGGACATTGTTACCAGGTGGCGTGGTAGTGTACATGACTCCAGAATATTCCGAGAATGTAGACTAAAACAGAGGTTTGAGGCTGGTGCATTCTCTGGAATATTACTTGGTGACAGTGGCTATGCTTGTACCCCTTACCTATTTACACCGCTGCTGAACCCCACAACACCACAAGAAGAAAGATATAATAGGAGCCATATCTGTACCAGGAACACAGTGGAAAGATGTTTTGGTTTGTGGAAGCAACGGTTTCGTTGCCTATTAAGAGGTATGTTTGGAGATATTGAAACAGCAAAAAAAACAATTGTTGCATGTGCTGTACTACACAATATGGCCATCGACATGAGAGAAGATGTGTTTCCTGGTGAGAGAGATAGCATTGAACAATATTCATCTGAACCTATAGTACAAAGATATATTGCACCATCAATAAGGGGAAATATTAGAAGAAGACAGTTTATTGAAACTCATTTTCAGTAGGTAAACATTTTTTTTTTACATATTTATATAGCTATTTATAATTAAAATTAATAATTATATTTATAAAATTGTCAATTTTTTTTCAATTGTCTAAAGCTATGTATATATAATTTATTTTATTTTGTTATTCAGAGGCCAATTTTGGCTATAAAATTACATTAAGGATCAATAAATGTATAAGACAATTATAATAATATTTCTTTTTGATTTCAGAGATAATATAAAGGAAAATATTTCTGCAGAGCCGTTGTCAGCTGTCAAAGAATAACGACTACATATTCACCAATATGAAATAAATTCAGGGTAGTATTGTGATAATATTTCATTTATTGAGCAAAATGCTTTTATTTAGGCTATAAATGATTGTGTTTCAGGGAAAGATGCGGGGTACAGCACATTCCACATCAATATGAAGCTATATTATATAAAGATTTAAGTGCTTTAGAGATATGTTTAGATTTTTTAATAAATATCGTCCCTCCTCTACATTCACAGCCGGATTTCCTTTCCAGAGGTGCACGGGTCCACGGGGAGTAGGACTGTATGATGACTAAGTAATTAGGTTTAGTTTTTTTTATTATAGTTTTTTACTATTGTATATTATATTTCACTGTTATGTAAATAAAATGCATATTAATTATAATTATTTATTTTAATTATTAATAAAAGATGTACAAATATTTGCAGCAATTTAGTACCTGAAAATAATTGTTTCATATATGAGGATATTTACAAACATGTATCTGATATAGTCTTAAATATTTAGTTTTTTTATAGGATAATGGTGATAAAACACAGTCTACCACACACACATACACACACACAGTCCATCTGATGTTAAGTAACTGCTGTGGTGCATAGACGTCCACATCTATCCTCGACTACAAATCAAAATGCAGATGCGTTGTCACCCGTGTGGAGTAAGATGGAATGCCTCGTTTCCTGTAAAAGAGGTCTCTCTCATACAAAATTTGTACAAAAATTTATCCAAAATTTGTCAATAAACAAGTTTAAATGTTTTATTAAAGAAAAATTTTATAAAAAGGTTATTATAATATCAAAGAATACATAAATGAGAATATTGGAAATACTGGAATTGAGGTGATCGCCACCATGGTGGTTCTATTAAAATTCATTTAAAAATTGTACAAATAAAATTATTGTTAAGAGAAATATGTTTATAAAAAAGTCCCGCTGGGTTTCTTACTAGTTCTTCCCAGGACTGAGGTATTTTCCGAACCAGTGGTAAATAAAAAATGTCTTTCAATAAGTATTCTGTAATAATCTATATTTAATAAAAATCATTCTATTCTATTCTCATTCTATAAACTCACCATAATAAACACAGCAGCATTAAGCTGCTATTTAACTTGTGTTTTTCTGACTTTCTAATAAAAATATTTGTAACTCTAATTTTCTAATTTTTAGGTTAGCTATTTTAATATTGTATTTATGTTCCTCTTCCATCATTTCCAGTTGTCTTTTTTTAAAATCTGTGTTACTTTTTACAATTGTTTGGTGTACATCTTCTCTTCTGTAAAATGAAATGGAATACTTAATGTAAGTTTTGTAGTTATTTTAGAAATTTACAAAGTATTCTAGAGTAATAAAAGTGCACTTAACCTTGTACACCAATTAAAGAAATATTTTTTAATTATTTTTAAATCAATTCATATTAAACTTTGCTTTTAATATTTGAAAACATGAAACAATTTTCAGTGTTTAAATACTAATTTTCACATTTTAAAAAGTATGTAATGTATCAGACTATGTAATTTTTTCAACATACCTATTTTGCAAGCTATTTTTCCTGTTTTTAATTTTTGTTATACCCCTAGTAATAATATCTTTATTGTTGGTTATTTTCACCATTTTGGCACTTTCTTCTGTATTTGTAGTTGGATCTATCTCTAAAAATTAATATAAATATAACAGTTTTAGAAAATTAACATTTATAATATTTACAAACTTGTATGCATATGATTGTAACTATAATAATAATATATTTTGCTTTTTAATAAATATTCAATCAGTATTATTTACCTTGCACATATACAACATTGGGTTCTGGATTTTCTACATTTTTAACTATAGCTGTGTCTGTTTTTTCAAAATTAAGGCGAGGCTTAGGGTCAGCAACTTCTTTTGATGTTGTAGCCACAGTCACTGGATCCTAAAATAAATCATTAAAACATTTATTAACATGTTTTCCTGTCACCTGTCATCTCTATTTTGCCCTTTATTGAATCAGGTATTTTCTATGTTGTAGAAATATTATTATGATCCAAGACAAAAGGTAATTTAATAAATTATTAATTATAATACCTAATAGAAAATTATAATCGGACTGTGTAGATAATCTAGTAAAATGTGTGTTATGATATTATATAGACCACTATATATGAATTTGTGACATTTCAATTTTGAATATAATTAATTATAAAGGAATTTATGTTAAATTGTTACTAAGTATATTAAATTTTGAATATTCGGAAAATAATTTTGGATTGTAAATTGTATGCTTTAAGAGTAGATTTCAGAGCACTACCTAGGTACTAAAGTAATGGAAAATAAAGTTCTTTAATTTTAATTAAATTTGTAAGACATGTAAGTAATTTTATTTACCACTGCATCACTATCATAATTATTAACTTCAACGATAAAGTCGTGAGGGGCAATGGACATTATTTCCAAGTCCTCAAGAGAAGGTGATGGAGGTTTTCCGCCACCCCCGGTCTTTGATTGTTCCCTCCTATATGTGTATAAGTTTGATTTAGCACACAACTTCATTCTTTTCCAAGATAATTTCAATTCACCATCTGATCGGCGTTTACCTGTTAGCTCATTAAATCTAAAAAAAATAATACGAAATCACGTAAACAATACCGTACCTATTTGTACACATAACAAATGCGATAAGTACTTACTTATTAGTTATATTCTTCCACTCTTTTATTTTTTGAATATTTACCGATGTTTTTGTCGACTTATTCTCTATTATATGTGCTGATTGTGAAATAAGTGTACGTAATATTTCCTATAATAATAAGAACATTCCTTTTAGTTGAAATAAGGATAATAGGAGGATAAGAGTATTGCTACGTACTGACAAATAAATTTCGATATTTCACTAACTTTTTCTTCAGAACTCCAATTTTCACCCCGTTTTTTCTTTTGTTCCATTATTATATAAATATAATTGTAATAGCAAGTACTTAATTAATTATTAATAATTTAATTTACTTATTATAAGGCTGCAATATAAACTATTTTGAACGTCTCGAATCCCGCGCTCGCGTTACCTCTGTAATTCACTACATTTCACGCTAGAGTTGTTAAACTGAAAACAACTTGATATAATCAAAAGCGCGTCAAAAGTATATGTCGTGCTTGTTCAATAGATTTTAACGTAAACAAATAACAATGTATGATATGTTTTTGTATTGATGGATAATTATTTAAGCATAATTAAATGTGAAAATAATATTAATATTTTATGAAACCGAACGTTGCATTGAATGAAACCTGTATGAACGAATGATAGAGTGTCATTTTTTGTTTTTTATCTGTGAATGATATTTAATATAATACTAACGTTGGTATTAACTGGTCCTCGGGTAGTCTGCGTTTTGTAATAAGCACACGTTTTAGTGCTGGTATTAACTAGAATATTGTAACAAACCTGGACTTCTTACTCCTAAACTTAACCCAGTACTAAAACATTTTTTTGGAATAAGACTGAATGAGATTATATATGAGATATAAGAGATTACAGAGAGTGCGAATTTACGACTTCGCGTGTACACAAGGAATCAGTTTTTTATTATAATAATTAAGACTAAAATAATACTAAAAATTACATTTTACATCTGATATTAAATAAGATTATGTTAAAAATAATGTTTATTCAGGGAAACTTAGTCGACTTTGGCTAGTTTTATTATTTAAATTATTTTATTGAAACAAGAAATTAATTCACTTCCTGAAGAAAACTAAACCATACCAACCATAAAGTATTAAAACCTTTTTTTCCATTATGATTAAAGTCCATGACAATGATTTCTTGTTACAGAGTTAAAATGCGAAGCGGGTATGGGTATGGAAAAGATACTGGGGCTGCACGGATCGCCTCTGCTTGGGCGACTTCCCCGCGTGCAGTCCAGCGCCAGCACCGACTCTGCTGTGCACTCTATGTACACGCATAGGTTTGTATACCTCATCATTAATTATTTTATGCTTGATCATTTTTTCTAATAAGTAACAAATAACAAAGTATTTTATTAACTACTAACAAAGCTATTGGGCATTCATAGACATAGAGAACGTGAAAAGTAATTTCAGAAATCACTTTATTATAAAAACAGGTCAACTTTAAGGATGAACATCTCCTTCAACACAACACAACACACCCTTTGACGATATTTTTTATTTATTTTAATTTTGATTATTTAAAAAAGTTAGTGTAGGAGCACCAGAATTTTCTGCCTTATCGTGGAAACCATAGATATAACAAAGAAGAACTCTTTTCTTACATTTACTATGGTGGAAACCAAACAACAATTATACACGTGGTTGCAATTCGACAGCATAACGAAACTAGGATTGTTTGGAAATGTTATAATTACGATTTAAGATGTACATTCAAATTTAACTTGGTTATGCTGTACGATCTATTCCACAAAGAAGGACTGCACATGGATAGGCAACCGGAACAATTATTTGTTGGCCAAAGTATTTGTAACACTAATTCCGTGCAGGATTTCAAATAAAAGTCTTATTTCACTTACTTTTAAAACGGAAAAATATCCAAGTTTTGAGACAGTACTAAATGTAGTGGAATAAAATTTATATAAGTTATTATTGATGGTGTCAACTTTGTTCATTCCGTCGCGCGCATCAAATCTGGTCGGTCATTTATCGATTTAATTTATGTCAGCTTGTCATGATTTATAAAATGTTGGCATGATCTAAATTTTATTAATATAATATGCATTAATATAATAAATATATTATATTAATGAGAATATTTTAATAAGTAAGGCATATAACGCTTTAATGTTACTTTGGCATTGTTGAATACGCCTACGAGTGCGAATTAACAGTTTCGTATTATCGTAATGTATAACCTTTTCTTGATCCGACGGAAATAATTTAAAATTTAAAATTTTGTACAGTCGACTTCAATATAAGTTATTAAGAATAACTCAAAAACTATTGGTCTGACCTTGATCAATTCATCCCATATGACAAATTCATATGGGACCACACGAGAAGTACCAGCTTTCATATAAAAAAAGAATCATCTAAATCGGTTCACCCAGTAAAAATTTATGAGGTAACACACATAAAAAAAAACATACAGTCGAATTGAGTACCGTCTCCTTTTTGGAAGTCGGCAGAAAAAACTATATTACATAAAAGTAACATAGAAATGTGACTTGCACGCAGTGTGTACAGCAGTCCGTCTGCGAGTCCGCGCCCGGCGCGTCACTACACGCCGTCCTTGTCGCGCAACAACAGCGACGCCTCGCACTCTTCCTGTTACTCCTACAGCTCCGAGTTCTCGCCCACGCACTCGCCCGTACAGGTACGTTCGGTTTGTTATTTGCCCTCCTTACCTGACTGCGGCGGAACTGAACTGAACATAGGCCTCCCATACAGTTTGCCTCATAGCCCACACAACGAAGGCAAATATCCCCCTCTATGAGGCAATCTAAAGAGAGACTACAGCTGTATTCACCTATGGAATTTTAGAAGCTGTGTGGGTAACGGCGGTTTTTATCAGCACGCAGTCCACCTGATGGTATGTGGATGCTGTAGCTCATAGACATCTACATCTGTCCTCGATTTAGAATTAGAAGGCAGATGCATCACCCTTGATGACTAAGCTGGAATGTCCCATCCCAATAAAAAGGGCATCTTGTTTTCTACACTCAACATACGAATAACAGCAGGCTGGTATTCTGTAAGAGCGTGGCCCTTCCCCGGTCGACCTGACCTATTCGTGGTTCAACCACATGTTATATTATAACCACTAATAAAAATATTCAAAATAAATGTGGACTTTAAACAAGGTTTCTCTTTTTAGTATCTGTAGTATTCTTTTGTTTTATTACTTAGTTTCGTGTTACAACACCTTCACAATTTCCGTACAGAGTCGGCAGCCACACGTGGTGTACCGCGAGGCGTCGGCAGTATTCCCCGCGTCGCCGGCGCACGACGAGGACGCTGACGCGGCCGACGAGCGGCTGCACCACCACCAGGGCATCAGTAGACAACAGCTAATCAACAGGTTGGAGCCACACTATTAATATTAGTTACGGTGATACGTCCCGAAATATTTTTGAAGCGAAAACTTCTTTAGTTTCGTTGTGATTTGAAACTCGATGGAACGAAAAGGCGACACTAAAAGGAGACAAACATATACATGCAATGGATTTAGCCTACGAGAGAATGAGATAGAGAATATTATATTAAATTAGTCATGTTTAGGCCATCTAACGTCTATTTTACGTACCGCCTAAGAATCAATAAATTTTTGTTCGATAAAATGACTTTATCTATAAAATGAAGTAGATGGCGCTATTACAAAGCAATTTTATTCTCGAAAATATTCTCTACATGTCCAATAATTTGGATTGTAACATTTATTTGCTATAAAATTAAACTTTTATTTTAGGTATATTTTTTGCTGCACTTGTGGTTGAAAATTGTTTATTTGCCGTGAAATATTTTTATTTTATTTTTCATTTTAACACTTTCACTGTCCGATTTTCAGACACAATACGAGTAGTAAGACAATAGCAATGACCTTTATGACCCAATATGTAGTGCACGGGACAGCGAAAGGGTTAAGCTTTCACTCGCGTGAACTGCACACATGCGTTTTGTTATTTTAATTTCTGAGTCTTACGGGTTTCCTCACGATGTTTTCCATCCCTGCTGGGCTCTTGGTAAATCAGCACTTAAAGTTACAATTAAAATTTTAATGGATGCTGGCGGAGATCAAACCCGGGTTACACGTGTACTGTAAAATTTACAGCTAGCGCTTAGTTAATCTACCTCGGTTTTTGCCGTAAACTGTTGATTTGGTTCTTTTTAGCATAACAGTATTTCATAATTATTTCGCAGTCCGTGCCCAATATGCGGGGACAAGATCAGCGGTTTCCACTACGGGATATTCTCGTGTGAGTCGTGCAAGGGCTTCTTTAAGCGAACCGTGCAAAACAGAAAGAATTACATGTGCCTCCGCGGCGGCAACTGTCCCGTCACTGTAGCTACGCGCAAAAAGTGTCCTGCATGCCGTTTCGACAAATGCCTCGGGTGCGGGATGAAGCTTGAAGGTATGACATTTTAAATTTTTTTTTAATAGGATAAGGGTGAGAAACAAGCACACAGTTCACCTGATGGTAAGTGGTTGCTGTGGCCCTGAGGAATAAGATGGAATGCCTCGTTTCCAGTAAAGAGGGTCTCCGGTTCTCGACACTCATCATACAAAACACAGCAGCGTTTAGCAGCTATTTTATGCTGCTATTCTGTGAGAGCGTGGTTCTGCCCCGGTCGAGCCGACCCATTCGTGCCACAACTACACTACTAATATAGCTGCAGCATGGCTCTACCGCGTAAATTCTGCTCTATTCCATTTTGTACATTATTACGTTGTAATCTAGTTCAAAAGGATCAAAGTAGACACAAAGTAAAGTACTATTAAGACTATTTTAACTAAAAGTACGACAACACCGTAATTATAAATATTTCATCATGGCTTTATCCTTCTGAACCTTACCTAGTGTTTTAATATTTAATACTTGTTTGTTGTTTTTGTGATGATATAAACCTAAAGAGCAAGGGGACTCTTGCAAGGTAATATTGCACTTAGTTCTTTCATTCTTACAAATCGATATTTATTCAAATTACAAATAATTTTTTTATTAAATATTCATATGGATGATGATGATGTACTTCAGGCCGATTCAACACTCAACGACTCGTCACTCGCGTTTAGGTAACTCCGACATAACCCGTTGTTGCCTCGCTTCGCAGAGACACATCAGCTGCCCCACCAGCGCCGGCTGCCCCATGGTAGCCTCTCCTCTCTAGGGGCAACCCCTCCTCCTTTTTCTTTTCAAGTAAGCAGCACCAGAACACAAGGTACACCTTCCACTGTGACCTCCAACTTTACCTCCGCAATGGGCACTATCCAAGTGCAATACGCGAAGGTCTTGGGGACAGGAAAAACGAGCACTCGGAAGCAGCAGCCTTCATGACTGATTTAATTGTACTGTGTGTCTAAAATGGGCTATTATTTTACTTAAATTTTATCAACAGCGATACGCGAGGATCGGACTCGAGGCGGTCGCTCTACGTACCAGTGTTCGTACTCTTTGTCGGGCGCCGCGTCCACTGGCTCGCTGCTGTCCGCGCACGTGCCCACTACACTACGGCACGCGTCCAGCCTCACCTGCGTAAGTATAACAATAGCACAAATATAAGCACTTTTTTTTCTTTGGTAATGGCTCGTACTGTTGTATTGTTGCCAGTGTCATGTATATTAAGAAAATATTCTTTATATTAATTTGTTTTAAACTTATTAACAATATGTTGATGCGTCACATTACGAAATTTTTGGGAGATTTTGACGGATGCCTGAGCCACAGATAGTCGATAACGATCGTATCTCAAGGCAATCTATCATAATATATTAACTACACACTTATTGTGATAATCCTATCACTTCAAAAGGTACGGTTTTTCCTTTAATAAAACCTATTGTGTTAACTAGTCGATGGGGTTCCTTGAAATTTTGTAATACAATACAATATCACATACACGTTACTATAACGGCTGTAATTAGGAAACATTAACAAATGAGTATATTTTTGTTCTATAGGTGAACGGTCCAGGGTCATACAGCAGTAGAGGAGAACCCAGCAACAGTCGACTGACACCCGACATTCCACCATTATTGCAGGTATGGTTTTAAATGCGTGCAGTAATTTAATGTGTATTATATAAAGTTTGATTCTTTATCTTGATTTAAATAAGATTCAAATTTTAAGTTCACGTGTACATAAAATATAGTTTCCAATGTAGATTTGAACTTGAAATTTCGAAAAAATTTATTATCACTCCCAAACTAAAAAATTTCATTTATCAATTTTAAACTATTCAGTTGAATGCCGGTGTTTATCCAAATATATAGATTAAGAGTTCTCTCTTAATTTGTGCCATCTGCAACATATAGTCAATTTGGTCGATGATCTTCCGTCTAGGGCAGCCCACGCCAACACTACCACTGACGTCTGCATCATAAATTTGCTTTATATTTTCAACTAGCTGTTCCCCGCGACTTCGCCCGCGCGTAATTTATTACGATTGGATTTCATGGGTTTTAATTTTTTGCGCGGAATCTTCTTTTTCTAAAATAAAAGTAGCCTAAGTTACTTCTTATAACATCGGCTGTATCTGCCAGTGAAAGTCCGGTCAAAAGCGGTCCAGCCGTTTCGGAGATTAGCCAGAACAGACAGGCAGACAAAGAGACAGACAGACTGAAAGACAGACAAGCAAAAATTTAATAAAAATCGTGTTTTTGTTATAAGCACCGTATATACTTTCATATGCATACAGTAAAAAGTTATTTCGACATTACAAACAGACACTTCAATTTTATTTATTTGTATAGATAGAAATATTTTGACTTGACTTTAAATGTGACCGCAGGAGATAATGGACGTGGAGCACCTGTGGCAGTACAATGAGTCGGAGCTGAGCCGTTTGGGCAAGTCTTCCGGCGGCGCCAACCCTCTACTAGCGGCGAGCGGCATCAACCCGCACACCTCCAGTGCGGACCTGCTGGCTGACTTGTGCCACATCGCAGACCATCGCCTCTATAAGATCGTCAAGTGGTGTAAGAGCCTGCCGCTCTTCAAGAACATATCCGTAAGTTTACCCGATGGTTGTTATTAGTCCATAAAAGTCTTACATGGGTCTATCTCGATAGAAGATACGTGGTATCTCCTACGTGGTAAAGGAGATCTCCTTTACTGCCTAAAAAATACGTCTTTTTTTATAGGATAGGGGGCAAACGAGCATGCGTCTCACCTGATGGTAAGTGACTGCCGCCGCCCATGAACAACTGCAATTAAGAATTGCAGATGCGTTGCCGGCCTTTGGGTGGGTAACACCCCTTTACCTACTCCTGCCGCCAAACAGCAGTGCGTGCGTGTATCAGTCTGAAGCGTAAAGAGAGCCACTAGAATTATAGCCTGTGAAGTATCTCGTCTTAGTCCTCAAAAGTTTTTTTTTTATAGGATAGGGTGACAAACGAGCATACAGTCCTCCTGCTGGTAAGCGATTGCTGTGACCCATAGACATCCACATCTATCCTCAATAAAGAATAAAAATGCAGATGCGTCGTCAGCCGTGAGGACTAAGATGGAATGCCTCTTTTCCAGCAAAATGGGTCTCCGGTTCTCTACACTCACCATATGACACACAGCAGTGTCAAGCTGCCATTTTACGCTGGTATTCTGTGTGAGCGTGGTCCTTCCCCGGTTGAGCCAAACCATTCGTGCTACAACTATACTACTAATATAGCTGCAGCATGGCTCTACCACGTAAAAAAACTGTGTTTCAGGCTGAAGCGTAAAGAGAGCCAGTAGAATTATAGGTTGTGACGTATTTCGTCTTAGTCCTCAGGAGTGACTTCGCATCTGTATCCCTCTTTATTTGAAGTTAATTGACAGCGTACATGGGCTGAAGTAACTACTAACCATCAAGTGGACGTCAAGTTCGTTTGTTACTTTAATTTTATTAATTATTCAAGGCAACTAAGCCAATACCACAAAATGATCACGTGATATCGTTAGAGCCCAAAAATATGGTATATCTCGATGGAAATTAAAAAGATACAATTATAAAATAATCCCAAGATGTTTCAGTGGAAGTCATGACAAAAATAATGTGTAAACTGTGTTTGTCCAGACTTCTTCAAAGGCGAATATATAATTGAAAATATTTTATATGTGATGTGATTGTGTTGATGTCAAGCTAGCCGCCTATCATTTCCTTCACAATTGTCCATGTAAACCGATTATTTTTAGGGTTCCGTACCTCAAAAGGAAAAAACGGAACCCTTATCACTTTGTTGTCCGTCCGTCTGTCTGTTTGTCAGTCAAGACCCTTTTTCTCAGGAACGCGTAGAGGTATCAAGCTGAAATTCATATCAAGTACTCAAGTCCACTGTCCCATAGAGCTGTGAAAAAATAAAACTTCTAAGCCAACGCAATCAAAAAATACAGCCGTTTATGCCGCAAATTTTCGACATTCGCAAGGGAATCAAAACCTACAGGGTACTTCCCGTGAACTCAGAATCTTGAAATTTGGTACGAAGCAACGTTTTATAGCACAGATAAAGGAAAAATTGAGAAAAGCTTACATTTTTAGTTATATCATATAATAAAAATATTTTTAATAATTTTAAACTTATATACCTACGAATTTGTTCTGAACCCTCGGTGCGCGACTCCGACTCGCACTTGGCCGGTTTTTTTAAATCAAACGCGGTCCGAGTAGCTCGTTGCTCTTTGTATTTTGCCTGACTCCTCGTTATTAAAGATCTGACGCTATATATGTATATATTTATATATATTCCGCTTCATTAGCATTCTGCATCATCCGTAAAAAGTATAGTAATATGTTGACTTTTAAAATTGATAAATAACTTTGTGAACAGATCGACGACCAGATCTGCCTGCTGATCAACAGTTGGTGCGAGCTGCTGGTGCTGTCGTGCTGCTACCGCGGAGTCAGCACGCCCGGGGAAGTGCGCGTGGGAGGCGGGCGCGGCATTACACTGCATCAAAGTGCTAAGTCAGTTGGATCTCCTAAAATGCTATCTACTAACTTTACAAACTTTTATAAAGATTTCTGTGTTTCGGTATATTATTTAAGATATGATTTTCTAAATTATCAGCATATGACAGTAAAAATTTGTTTTAAAATGCATTCTACAGCTCTTCATTAATCTCTAATAAAACCGTGACGTGGTAGTGTAAGAACTCCACTACTCCATATCGTCCCGTGGGTGTTGTAAGAGGCGACAGAGGGAAAATGAAACAGGAGATAGGCAGCAGCATCTTCCTGAAAACAACTCAAAATAATAATAAACTACGGTTGCCAACCCGCTCGCCAAGCGTTGCAACTATAATAAAATTCTCCCTATGAGGCAATTATGGGAGAGACCTTTGTTCAGTGGACTTTTACTGGGTGTAATGGATTAATCTCTAATATAATACTGCCACTATTATAGTGGACACTTCTGAACATACGATTCTCAGTATATAGTTGGGACGACTGACCATAACTGTCTGGACTGATTGAATTACCAGATATATTATATCTGATACTTTGATCACCACGATACGCCTTGATGTTGCATTTTCAAGTCTCTAAGTTCCCAAAAATTTTCCCTTAGGGATGTAGATATCCCACTAAAGTGTTATATTTATGCATTGCTAGTGCAAAAATTGCATTGTGCATCCAATTTCAAAATCGTGCACTCGGAACTAGTACCCGAAACGTATGGTGTTGCACCGTATGTTAACGTATGTGAAGGTTACATACACCGTGCCATTTGCGACCTATCCAAAAATAAACCTCAGACACGAGAAGCACAATTTTTCCTATGTTTGCTTTAAAAATATATAACGCTACATTGAAGTGGAATCCTGATATAAAATTGGATCCATTAACGTAAGTTTTGTTAATGACAGGTTCGGTTTGACGCCGTGTATAGAACGCATGCTGAGCTTCACCGACCACTTGCGGAGGTTGCGGGTCGATCGATATGAGTACGTCGCGCTCAAAGTTATCGTACTGCTCACTTCAGGTATTAATAGAAATAAAATGTATAGTCTGTGTTGTATTATTTAGAATATGTGGGTATTATATAGAGATCCGGCTCGAAGGACTATGTTTTTAATATATTTTCTTTATAGTATAGGGTGACAAATGGCACAGTCCACCTGATGGTAAGTGGTTGCTGTGGCCCATAGACATCTACATTTATCCTCGCTTGTGAATCAAAATGCAGATGCGTTGTCACCCGTGAGGACTAAGATGGAATGCCTCGCTTCCAGTAAAAAGGTTCTCCGGTTCTCTCCGAAACACAGCAGTGTTAAGCTGCTATTTGACGCTGGTATTCTGTGAGAGCGTGGTCCTTCCCCGGTCGAGCCGACCCATTCGTGCTACAACTATACTACTAATATAGCTGCAGCATGGCTCTACCACGTATAAAAGTAAGTAATATGATTTAACCCTCATTAAATTAATTTCTCGGTAAAACTTTATAGATATTTATGATCGCTACGTTTTAGGCTGCTCAATGTGAGTATATTATATGAGCATATCTATTATCTATAGATATTTAAAATGCCCTAATGCCAGCTATATATGTTGGTCAAGCCTAAGTCAACGCGAGCGCAGGCAAATTGATACAAGGCGTGTGGTACAGTCTAAATGTTGGGCAAGTTTGAACAAGTGAACATGGCTGACTAACATGTGAACGCGACTTGTCTAGTGCAGGCGAGCGCCTTTGGTTTGTGCAGAAAAACCGACACTGTGACAAGTGAGACGAGTCGGTTGGCGCTAGCTTGCACTCGGCCAGCTAGGCGAGCGACGACGAGCAATGGCGAAGCGTATAATTTTATTTTTAATTGTTATTCGTGTACCTGTCAAAGGTAAAATATATTTCTGGTGTTTCCGTTCGACACTCATCATAATATAAACAATCTATTGCTAAGCAACGTTTCACAACGGATACGGTTTTACCGTGATCGCCATTTATTGTAAGGTGAAGTGGAGAACGCAGTACTACACGTAACTGTAATGCCTCCCGTCGCCGCTCTCGGAATTTCACATCTGGTATTAATAAGAGATGCTTTTAATTTCGGAGACTACAAGCTCTCCTGCGAACATTTACCTCGCTTCTTGCATCCACTGAAAAAATCTTTAAATCTTTTTTTATTTATATAGGATAGGTTGACAAACGAGCACACAGTCCACCTGATAGTAAGTGGTTGCTGTGACCCATAGACATCTACATTTATCCTCAATAAAGAATAGAAATGCAGATGCGTCGTCACCCGTGAGTACTAAGATGGAATGCTTCTTTTCCAGTAAAATGGGTCTCTGGTTCTCTACACTCACCATACGAAACACAGCAGTATTATGTTGCCATTTTACGCCGGTATTCTGTGAGAACGTGGTCCTTCCCCAGTCGAGAGAACCCATTCGTGCTACAACTATACTGCTAATATAGCTGCAGCATGGCTCTACCACGTATAGGTATCTATTTCTTTTCTCCTTTATTTGAAGTATACAACCAATAAAATTATCGCAACATTCAGACGCACCCGAACTGCGTGAAGCGGAGAAAGTACGAGCGTCCCAAGAGAAAGCGTTGGCGGCTTTGCAAGCGTACACCGCCGCGCACTCGCCAGACACTCCTGCGAAGTTCGGGGAGCTGCTTTTGCGTATACCCGAGCTACAACGAACATGCCAGGTATAACAATTTTAACTTTAATATCTTAAAGACTGAACTTTGTTAACAGCGGTCGATCTTAACGTAGACTAGCCATCTGCACGGAGCAGGATTATAGTGCACTCTTTTTTTTGCGGCCATAGTAAGGCTACCCCCCGTAAGCGGGGGAGGGAGGTGGTGAATGCTCATAGCATGCCACACAGCCGGCTGCGTGGTTATGTGGGACTCACTATGAAGTGCCTACCTAACACCACCTGTGGGACTGGCTTTGGCCTGTATGGCCTTTCTGCCGACTCGGAAGCGGCCCCCTTTAGGGAAAGGGGGCGCTATTACCTTTTCACTTTTATAGCCCGATGGGACGACAATCCGAAACGACCGGGAAGAGATTACACTAATACTTGGAATTTAAAGTAAAACTAAATATCATCTTAATTATAGGCTGCCACGGCATGCAAATGTGGACTACGCAAATAAAACTTAAATAAGTTAGTTAATACTAAGCGAATGAAAACTTAAACATTTAAATCCTTATTTTTTATGTTAAAAATCAAAAATATTTTATGTACGTGAATTAATTCATTAAAAGCAAAATCAAGAAAAAGTGAACATGAAGGCGTTCGTTTTGCCACGTGGACGGAACCGCTCCTTATAGCTCATTCCACATGGAAGGAGGAAACGTTCTCGAGTGGCAGCCTCGTACTGGTTAGCGGAGTGTAGGGTGGAGTAATGACCTAGTAAAATATGCAGGAAGTGGATGGATGCAGGAGGTAGTGTATGTAGGAATTCAATTAATGCAGGAGGCTCAGGACTGTGATTTGTGGCATTCCTTAGGGGAGGCCTATGTTCAGCAGTTGACTTGTTAGATATCTTGATCTTGACCACATTTTCCCACCACGGCCGATCTTATTTCTGGCAGGGCTTCGGAGCAGGAAAGAATACGCCGCACTATCCCAATGACTTCACTAATCCTTGAAATATTATATATCTCTCATACTGTTTATATGTTCCACTGCTGAGACTTCAGATCAGGTTAACGGAGCTAGCAGAGGTACCGTGTAGCGGCGGTGTAAGAATATCCACTACCCCATATCATCCCGTATTTCATAAGAGGCGACAGAGGGAAACAAATCAGGTGATGGGCAGCAGCTTGCCAGGCGTGGCAATTATGGCCAATATCCCCCCTATGAGGCAATCTAAGGGGGAGGCCTATGCTCAGCAGTGGATTTTAGTAGACTGTAACGGTAACGGTATTGACGGTGCCGTGGCGCAGTGGCTTAGCAATGAGTTGTTGCGCTGGGGGCCGCGGGTTCGAATCCCGCACGTAACAAGTATTTGTATGGCCTACAAATAATTGTTCCGGGTCTGCACGTTTGTCGTGCAATTTATGTATATTTATAAACTGCCTCCACAACACGGGAGGAAATCCTAGTGTGGGGTTAACGTTTTTTAAAACATATAAAAATAAAAAAATACAGGGCATTTATTCCGCCACGTACGTGTTGGCGGATTTTAATCAAGATTGACTTATAAATGTTTGCATTCCAGTTCTTCATGCAAGTTGGTAAAGAAATGCTCAACCCCGCGAACAAGAGTAAGGACGGTGACGGTCCAAGCTTCAATCTCCTGATGGAATTACTGAGGGGCGATCACTGACCGCAATAATGATTTCGGAGAATTTGTAAATTTTGCTAGTGGAAGGACTTTGCTCAAAATATGATGATTGAAAATGTTTAGAAATCTAGATATTATTAATACAGACATCAAGTTATTAGGTTAAGAAACAATGTCGTTGTAAGAAACGGAGTAAGAACAACGTGAGTTGTGGTGTACTGTTGTGTTAATGACATAACCTAAATAAATTTTCTTCTCTGTCGTTTTACATACATAAATTCCAATAGAATAATTAGCTACTCGATATTGTAGTAAAACACTAAACGAAAATAACATTGGTTTTATTTAACACAGCAGTAAAACGCAACATAAGGCATTGGACTATTATACACTTTGAAATCACTTATGCCTTTTTAAAAAGGGCAAGCCCCAAACATTGGCCTTAAATATAAAGACTGTTTCATACATATTCATTATTTTTTCTAACACGCTTCACGCATATATGCAAACATTAACAATCATACTTGAACAGTCCCAAGTGAAACGTACTGCCGTATCCTTGCATTTATATTTTTTTATATATTTAAAGTTCTACAAGGTTTATTCATAACAAAAGATACCTCGATCCACTATCTGTCTGAATCACATTTAATAATATTCCCTCAATTATGTAAATGATAGCACAAAGCCTCGTGTAAAATGTGTAATATAAGGCCAAGGGATCAATTAATTATAGTATGTTATCTTGAAACATGTAAATTAATTATTGAGTATTTTATCAACGAATAACAAGACATTTTGGTATCGACAATTTTCACATTGTAGTTAAAAACACTGTAATGTAGATAAAAAAAAAAACAAAACAAAAAGCATTCTGGAAATGCAAACAAAGTAAAATATTTTCTAATTATTTGTTCGACACTATTCAATCTTGCCAGTAAAAATGTTAAGCGTACAAAGTTACTATTTTTGTATGTAGCCTTGTGTTGACGAGAATTAAATTTTTAAATGTCTAGAGTTAATTATAAAAGTTTTTTATACTCCAATGAAAAAAAGACTTGCGCTACTTAAGTTGCAATCAATTTTAGACCTTAATGCCTGTGTACTATTTGTAATTTTATGATATACGGTTGTAACTATAATTCCATGTGTATAACAATGTAAAGATGACGTGTTCTTCGTTGTTATTTATTGTAATTAAACTTAATAACTTACGGCTTTATTTGTACAAGCCTCCTTTGTATTCATTGCCATTTTGTTAGGTTACTTAATATTTGTAATATTGATTGTATGTCCATAGTAGTATAGTATCTGAAGGTATAACTTTCAGACTTATGTTTATATTGAGACAAAGGTTTTTATGAAAAACTGAATTATTACTTAAATTTATTGCAGCTTTACAATAATATATTCATAAATACTGTTTATTTACGAATACTCGCCAATCGTGTCCGGTTTAAATTCATATTTAACAATAGAAATAAAATTAATTGACCTCATTCTACAATTATGTATCTATTTCTCTATACTTTACGGCATTTGAACTCTGCGTACAATCAATTAAAGCATTTCAAGCATCTATAATCTAATTATAACAAACTCTAGGTAGTGTCATTTTTTGTTTAAATAAGCTACTTTACTTTTCGCTCAGTGTATCATATTGGGTCTACCTTATTGCCAACATAGGGAAATATGTCTTCCTTTTTCCTTTCAATTGACCATAAGTATCACAGTATCATTTTTTTAAATACTAGTAATGCTATTATACATTACTAATATTCCCTTTAACCACTTCTGGTAAGCTTAAAATGCTTGTATCAGAAGTAGTTTACGACAGTAGTCGAATGGCGGATTCGAACCTTTTGAGTTCACGGTCCACATTCTGCCATTAGGCTACTGACGCTTTTTCTGTCTTAGTATCAAAACTTCTTAACTTTACTTAAAAAACATGTTGTAAATCTTAGATCATATAATGGTATGGTCCAAGTGCAGCCTAGATGCGCGCAGAGTTGCCAAAATATGTATTTATTTGCGATACGGTATGATCTTTTCATTTTTGTTTATTATTATTTTATTTTTATTTTTGTGCAATACTAAGCATAAAGGCATCATAATATTTATTTTTAAATTGTGGTCTTTATGATTTTTGCAGTTTTTTTTTTTAATTTTTCCAGCTGTGCAACAACAGCTGCCGAAACCAGTATCTCACTGCCTTTTTTTTTATTTATAAGACAATTGCTATGAGCAAATCCCAATATTGGTTGCAATACATATATTATTGGAAGAAATATTCTCAATTAAGTTTATTTAGACATAGTGAAATAGTTTAGTTATTATATTATGTTTATTCAATTTATTTGTAGATGAAGCTGATGCGTTAAAATTCTAAAAAAAAAACTTTTTTTGAATTCCATTGATAAAGAAAAGAAATGTGCTAATAAAGTATGCATTTTTTGTTTCTGTTACACGGCAGCTTTGCAGCCAACGCCACGTTTTGTTATCTCAAATAATTAAAATTAACTTTATTGTACGAAATATACTTGCTTTTAAAGGACTAAAAATATGTATTTACTCGTAGTTGTTTACTTATCTTTATTGGTAACTACTTTAAAAGTAGTTACTGCAACTTAAATTAAAACATTGCCGTAATGTAGTATAAGGTTCGCGATATAACAACCTGCCATTTGGCTAGCTTGCCAGTAACATTACTTCCAGAAGCTCGATGTAGCTTCGACTTTACTGTTTCGTTTTTGATTATAATCTGGCAGGCCCAGATTTTAGGAAAACTTCTAACCTTAAAACTCAAAAAATGTAAATACGAAAATTAAACGCGCGTTTATTACATTTATATTAATACATTCAAATTTTGACACAGTGTAGTAAGTAATAGAGCCGATTTCAACGCAATCAACATGTATTTTTATTAATCATAAGGGCACAAGTACTTCAATTTTTTTAGTCTGTAAATTGTCAGAGCTCATGTAAGTTAAGAATTTTGTGTTAATTAAAATGTTTAAAAAGTGCCACACAGTGAAATGATTTTGTTAGATGAGATTTTTGTGGTTTGTGTATTCTTCGTTTAATTTGCAAAATTTTGCCGATATTTAGATAGTTTATTTGGTACCTAAATAATGATATATAGTGGCATCTATATAGTGTAATTTTATTGAACTGATATTGTAAGTACTAGGCTTAAAATTATATTTTTGTATTTTCATACTGATTTTGGTACAACTGCACACTTTTATATGTCATCCACGATGCTACGAATCCCTTAAATTTCACAGAATAAGTAATCGTGGTTATTTGTTGATTATTGTTAGAAACCTAACATACTAGCCGATAATAACATAAAACACCGTAAAAAGAAAACATTATTCAAAAATGAAAGAGTAATAATTATAGAGAAAAACAACAAGGGCGTTGATCCTGAGCGTTGATCAATTGCATGTTTTTTAATATTTTTAATGGTTTTATTTTTGGCCAGAATGTTATGTTGCCAACATTACACATTTAAAGTAAACATAACATCGTGTGCAGTTGTAAAAAGTAAATATAGCAGTATGTTTGTCGCAATTAAGGAATGGTGATTGATTGAGCGCGTCCGAATAATTTTTATATTAAAAATTACTAGGCACGAGAGAATGGTACACGTCCATTATTTTGTATCTTGAAGTTTTGTTATATTCTATAAGTATTATACTGATATTCTATTCTTTATTCTGTAGAGCTATGGAAATATTTTTATATATAGAGCGAAAAATAAATACATTTTTCAATTTTATACTGCTGATATTATTTTTATTTAATGTGTTTGATCTCCTGTCGTCTTCCTCCTGGCTTCTCTTAGAAGAATTCGGCCATGTTATTCCAATGTGTTTGAATAAACGGACTTGTCCCATAGACAGAATTTCTTAATGGAGAGTCTTAATGGAGACTTGCCGTCTGCGCAGGACAGCATTTTAGTGCCCGAGTGTACGCGCACCCACAGGTGCACTCTCTATTCCCTCAATCTCATAGTCCGATGGCGATGGGACGGTAATTCGACACGATCGGAGAGAAATCAGACGCAGGTTCAAGGCGCGGGCACAGTGCCTCGGAAAGCATATTAAGCCGTTAACTACTACTAACAGTCTGTCATCGTGCAAGATCGTGTAGACAGGGCAATCGTGCGGTACGGTGCGGAGCGAGACGCGGACTGAACACTTTCTCAACTCAGACTGTCTGCTAGGGTTGCCCTGTCACGCAAATAAATGAAAATGGTTCACACTACATGTGCGGTAAAAAACTGTGGGTTGTCCTCATTTAAAGATAAGCAATTAGTTTTATCAGTTTCCAAATACTCATTAATTTGTTTAAACATGAAAAAAAATATAGTCAATTTTTAATTATTTTTTTACTTCCCGTTCTGACAACCCTAGCGATTTATTGTTCATGTCGGCTTTTCCGACATCAAACGCAATGACTGACCGTATGTTCTTAGGCTGTGGCACGGGGGTGCAACACCGCCAACTTACTCCGGCTGTTACTGAGAATTTCTTGACAGATAAACCCAATAGCTAATAAACCCGGGATTCGAACCTAGGACGTCATGATTAGTAAACGACGACTACTACTAGACCGACGAGGCAGTCAAAACTTACTCAAGGACATAAACAACCATAATGGTACAAATTACTAGTGGAATTAATACAAATTTAATTATATACAATATTAAAAACTATATAAATTAAAAACTATACAATATTAAAAATAATAAAAATAAAACTAAAATTAGAAACTTAATTATCATATAGTCCTACTCCCCGCGGTAGCGTGCCAGGAACGCTGGCTGCGTTTCCCCGCTGAATGGCTATACTTAGGCTATGAGCGAGAAAAGAACCAGCCCTCTTATCACCAGCAGCAACGGCCAGCCGCGGATGGAGTTCCTTTAGGAACTTCACCGCACGTGGACCCCATGGACCGATAGTCTCTACAGCAAATGGCACAAATATGTAGTCATCTCTCAGAGACTCATATTTGCGCCATTTACTCAGTTCAGCTGCCTCTGATGCCGCCCCGGCTCTAAACGAGGTACCCCTGAGATGAGAGGCCGCCAGAGTGTCTACGCAAGTAGCATTCCCACACTAGGGCTTTACCTCTCTGACCAATGTCATACCGTCGGGTCTCCTGCCATCGTCTCTAAATATTCCACAAGGCTCTAAAACCGAGGAAGCATTTATAGAAACAAGAGCCCTTCGGATGACATCGTTAAAAGAACTACTACAAATTGATTTTAAAATTTGTGTAAACGGCAAGTACGTTTCGGCGTGAGCACATATTTTATATCTTTGGGCAGTGCGATTGTATGACTCAGGTGGAAAGAGTTTGCCGGTGGGAATCACCGCAACGCAACTTTGATGTTTTCATTTTGAAGCAATCATTATTTGAAATCTAAAATAAGATAATATAAAAAGATAAATAATGATTCGTGCGTTACTTCCCGGAAATCCATTACATTAATGATTAAAAATTAATTAGCGAACATCAGCGTACTAAAATAAAATGATGTCTCAAAACTCTTTAAACTAATTAAGACACTTCAGTCTATTTTATTTTGCGGATATTAGCTGATTAATTTTTAACATAGGCTTATAATAATAATAATTTGAAAAATAATTTCTTTCAGATGTTTAGTATCCATAGTTACAAACAAAAAATACAAACACAACACTAACAGAAAAAACAAAACTCATTTACCAAGACAAAAATTAACTTAAAAATTTACGAGTCTGCATCCAGTGTGCGAAATTCCGATGATTTTCAGCTTTGTCTAAGATAGTGCTTAGAAAGTTACTGGAACTGTAAGCTATGAAATGTGCCTCCCTCATAGATTATTACAAAATACAGTTCTGAGCCTCCTTTTTTTTACATGCGGAAATGCGTACCCGCCTCGCGTGGAGAAGGACGGGTTATGTCGGACTCGCACCGACTAAAACCACATGGTGCTCCACCTTCGCCGCATATTGGCAGAGCCACGGGAACGCTTTCACACACATCCGCGGCCCTACCAGCGCCAGCTGCCCTATAGCGGCCCCTCCTCGAGAGAGGACTACTATTCCCCCATCTCCTTCTCAGGTAAGGCGCACCAGAACACATGGTGCGCCTTTCTCCGCGCCCTCCAACTACACCGGCGCAACAGATGCCTCCGAATCCGATGCGCGAAGGCCATGAGGTTCCGAGCCCCCTGCATCCATCGATAAAATTCATGGTCGATAGGTACCTAACAAAACGACGAAATAGCGTGATGGAGTCTCTTACACCGCTAACACACGTTAATAGTACAAACAAACCTCGGTAGTACATTGAAAAGATACTAGTGTCTCGAAAATGTAGAGAAAAGTGCAGAGATTAGTTACGATTTAAGTGACAACATTTGCCTAAAGTATTGCATCTATAGTTTTTCAGTTTTTACTGTTTTTGACTATAATTACACTTTGAGAGATTTTATTATATAGTATTTTATTAGCAACTAGCGACACGAACATTTATTTTACGTTTTTCCAACAAAAAAGAAATGAAATATAAAATAAAAGTATTTCACGGCATATTATTTATTTAATATAATTATTTTCAACTACTAGTGTGACATAAAATATAAATTAATTTTATAGCGAATAAATGTTACAATTCTTAGTTTTAGACATCTTTCAAGTAAATATAATAGCGCCATTTACTCCATTTTATAGGTAAAGTCATGTTTTAAAAGAGAATTCAATCAATTATTTTTATTCGATAACAAAAATAATTGATTGAATCTCAAGGTGGTAACGTAAAATAGACGCTAGGTGTCCTAAACACCACTAATTTAATATAATATTATATCTCATTCTCTCGCAGGATAAATCCTATAGATGTTTGTCTCTTTTAGTGTCGCTTTTTCGTTTCATCGGGTTTCAAACACAACGATTCTAAAGAAATGTTCACTTCAAAAGTCTTCAAGTTTTTCCGATATGTTTTTTTATAGGATAGGGTGACAAACGAGCACACAGTCCACCTGATGGTAAGTGGTTGCTGTGATCCATAGACATCTACATCTATCCTCAATAAAGAATCAAAATGCTGATGCGTCGTCACCCGTGAGGACTAAAATGGAATGCCTCTGTTCCAGTAAAATGGGTCTCCGGTTCTCTACACTCACCGTACGAAACACAGCAGTGTCAAGCTGCCATTTTACGCTGGTATTCTGTGAGAGCGTGGCCCTTCCCCGGTCGAGCCGACTTATTCGTGCTACAGCTATACTACTAATAGCTGCAGCATGGCTCTACCACGTATGGTCCTGGCATTGCTCCCTATTTGTTCGTAAAGTTTCATCACAATCGGTTCTACCATTCTACAGATTAGCCCAGACAGATAGACGTTTAATTTTTTTTTAAATGGTTACTTATGTCTTAATAGCATGCAAATAACCCCTGAGCGAAACTGAAATATAGTGATTATGTGCTCTTTGACTGAATCACATTCATGCGCGACATAGTATTGATCGTTATGGTTTTCCATATCCACCAGAGATGGATAGGTTCGCTGACTACTACAGAGAATATATCGACCAATCAATTTACGGTAACAGGGTACAATTGTTGAATTTCAACTTACAACAATGTACCAAGGTTCAATAAAATACAAAAATAAGCTTAACGAAAAGGTTTTCAATTTAAGAAATTATTTCAATATTACGGACATAAACTTCGATTTTTATTTATATGTATAGTTGTAGATAGTTATCACAGTTATCAGTTTAATTCAATTACCATTACCGTAATTAGTCATAATCATTTATCAATTGGCTACGTATATAAATACTAAGGGAATACAAGGATATATCAAAAATAAAAAAAAATGTTTCAAATCGGTTTCCTGCTCTGCCTGGTAGGGCTCACTGTGGGCGGCCCAGCAGTTACAAAGACGAGGGAGGAAATCGAGTCCTTCAAGAATTTCTTGAAAAAATCTCGTACAGGTAGGTACTTTAAAATTTAATATATAGTGACTTTTTCAACCTTTGTAATATAAGTTGGTACTACCAGAAATCATTTTCTTTCTTTGATTAGATTGCAGTTGACTTGAAAATTTCAGTATTAGGGTTAGCTATTAGTCTGATTCTTTATTAGCAAAAATGAGTACTCAATATTACTTTTCTGCCTTGGAGTTTGGATAGGTAATGTTCAATTAGGGAACATGAATAAAATAGGCGACTCACACGATAGGCAAATTGTATATTTAAAAGGAATGAAAAATACAAAATATTTGGTGGCGATCGGGTCGCGAGCTATCGGCAAGTGCCGGTCTTAGGCGCGGTGGTGAGAAACCCCCCGCACTTCACATACTCCCCGCAAACACCGTCGGTGCTGTCGTAACGGCGCCGACATACTCCCGGCGCTGGAAAGCTTAACAGCTTTCAAGATCTTCCAACTCATCGGGCTTCGGTAGTAGGACGATTCTGTTTAGGGCGCGCCGCACAATTCCTCTTGCAGTGTCTATATCTGCGACGCGTGTCAATCCGTCAGATCCCGGGAAGAGTTTTCTTACACGTCCGAGACGCCAATAGAGCGGTGGAGCGTTTTCCTCTTTCAAGAGGACTAGGTCGTCAATTTGTAGGCTCTCTTTGGACTTCGTGCGCCACTTCGTCCTCAACTGCAGCTCCGCAATGTACTCGTGGCTCCAGCGTCGCCAAAGTGTTGCTTAAACTGCTCGATGCGCTGGAATCTGTCGAGACGATTGGCATTAGCGGATTGTAGACACGGAGATGGCAGCGAGCTTAGTGGTCTTCCAATTAAAAAGTGGCCCGGAGTTAAGGGATAATAGTCCGTGGGAGAGGAACTTAATGGACATAGGGGGCGGCTATTTAGGATACATTCTATTTGTGTGAACAAAGATGACAATTCCTCATAGGTTAGGTGCGTAGTCCCTAATATCCTAGCCAGGTGGAATTTGGCTGACTTTACACCGGCCTCCATCAAACCATTGAAGTGAGGAGCGTATGCAGGCGAAAAACAAAATTCAACGCCTTCGTTAGCGGCAAAATTAGCGATAGTTTTGGCATTAACTTCAAAAAACTCTTTAAGTTCCTTTGAAGCAGCTACAAAGTTTCCACCATTGTCGCAGAATATCTGCTTTGGTAGCCCTCTCCGTGAAACAAAGCGTCTCAAAGTTAATATAAAAGCATCCTTGGACAGCTCACTAACAGCCTCCAAATGGATGCACTTATACCTAAAACATATGAAAATACACAAATAACATTTTGTAATTTTACAACCACGACCTTTGCGATCCGTGACCATAAATGGCCCAGCGAAATCAGTCCCTACTGTAATAAAAGGAAAGTCGGGCATTAGTCTTTGAGCAGGTAGGTTGCCTTTAGCAATAGCCTTTAGAATGTTTACAGTTATTAATAAATCTATGTACATAGGCTAAAATGTGTTGTAATTGTTTTAATTTAGAATATTTGTTAAAGTTAATAATTGATTGATAATTATCACAAATAGCAACTGGATGTGCTTTAACTTCCGGCAAATTCTTCATCTCAATAATAGTCTGCGACTGCATAGAAGGACACTCGGACTCCGGCAACGATAAAAAACTTAGGTCCATACCACCACATATCACATGCAGCGATCTGTTGTGGGTTCACGCCACGGGATAGCAGGTCAGCTGGGTTGTGTTCTGTAGGAACGTGGTGCCATGAATTTGCGTCAGTCAGCTCTCTAATGGCGGCGACTCTGTTGGCAACGAATGCTTTCAAGTTAGAAGAACCGCAGCGCAACCAACTAAGAACTACGCTCGAGTCAGTCCAATAGACATGACGCGATATTTTACGTCGCAAGGCCTTGGTCACAGATGAGCTCATTTCAGCTGCCAGAAGAGCACCTGAAAGCTCCAAACTAGGAATTGTAATAGGGCTGGATGCTGGGGCAACGCGAGATTTCGCACATAAAAGTTGGACATGTATTTGTCCTTCTTTATTTGTAGAGCGAAGGTACAAGCATGCACCATAGGCGCGTTGCGATGCATCGCAAAAACAGTGGATTTCAGCAGAGACTGGATATTCTATTGATACCCATCTAGGTATATTTAGTGAAAAAAGGCATTTAAGTCCATCAACACAAGGTCTCCAGACATCGACAATATCCTTTGGAGCGGGCTCATCCCAGTCCAATTTGAGAGACCATAAGGTCGGAATTAAAATTTTGGGAACGATAGTGGACAAGGATAGGAGGCCCAAGGGATCGAAGATCTTGAAAGTTGAAGAAAGTATAGTGCGCTTGGTGACGACGTCAGACTGATCCACTGTAATGGGAAAATTAATGCTGTCGGTCGAAGGACTCCAATCTAGGCCCAGCGTATTTGTAGACTGACTCAATGTCAGGTTGCCGGATGACTGGACAACGTCTGAAGGCAGTAAAGAAGGTAAGTTGGATCGGTACTTACGCAAGTCAAAACCAGCCATAGAAAGAGCCACATGTGTTGATTTCTGTATAGACCGTAATTGATCTTCATCATCGCTAGAAGTTAGTAAGTCATCAACATATATGTCCTCCTGTATGACTGCCTTAATAACGTCATCGTCACACTCCTCGCCCACTTGCCAGAGACACCTGGTGGCAAGGAAACTAGCGCTAGCAAATCCGTAGGTGACCGTGTTAAGCCTGAGTGTTTGTAATGGTTTGTCCTCCGCATCACGCCATAAAATCAGCTGTAGGTTTCGGTCAGACTCATCTATTAAAACCTGCCGGTACATTTTTTCAATATCCGCTGACAACACATAACGATATTGCCGGAACCGGATGAGGATATTGAAAAGAGAGTCTTGAACTGTAGGGCCTATCATTTGAATGTCGTTTATAGACAAACCAGATGAAGTGCGAGCTGATGCGTCAAAAACGACGCGTAGACGTGTTGACTCACTGTCTTCACGAATGACAGGATGATGCGGAACAAAATAGGCAAGCTCAGGTCGGTCTACCTCAGATATTGCTAGATGTCCTAGTTTGCGATACTCCTCAATGAAATCAACATAGGCGGACTTAAGTTCCGGTTGCTTGCGAAAGCGACGTTCCAGGTTTATAAATCGCCGCCTGGCTATGAAATAGGAAGTGCCTAGGCAGTCTGGTTTGTCGATCAATGGCAGCTTGACACAAAAACGACCTTCTTCAGTGCGTTTTGTGTGCTGTAAAAAATGTTGTTCGCAAGCTTTCTCTTGGTCTGTAAGAAGGGGCCTTTGTGGCAAGCTTTCAAGCTCCCAAAACCTCTTCAAATCATTGTGAAGCTCAACTAAAGTATTGTTGCTTTCAATACTTACAAAATTACATTTCACTGGGGAATTTAAATTGAGATTGTCATTTTGAATATAATGCATGGGACCTGCGATAAGCCATCCTAATTTAGACTCATGTAGAATAGGATTTCCTTTGCCTAAAGAGTGCTGTTTGGTTCCAATAATGGACCAAAATAGGTCAGCACCGATGAGGAGTCCTATGTCAGACGGCTCATAAAAGCTGGGGTCTGCTAATGCAAAGGACTTCAGGTTAAGGTGTGTAATAGACACAAGAGACTTAGGTATCTTACCTGATATTTGGGGTATGACTAAACATGACGTCATAACGCTGAAAGAACCTACCTTTGAATGAATTCGAACATTGCAACGTTCAGCATTAAGCTTGACAATAGTGTTACATATGCCGACTACATTCCTAACATCAGACGTGGAAGAAGTTAAATTTAACTTTGATTTAAGTGATTCTGTAATAAAGCTAGACTGACTACCGTTGTCTAAGAGAGCTTTAGTGGTAATGTAATTGATTGTTTTGGGATTAAAAATATCAACCAAAGCCGTACATAGTAGTGTCTCAGAAGCAGAAACAGCTGACATTGAAACTGGCTCAGAGACTGCAACATTAGTGACTGCCACATTGGTATCAGAATCCGTAGGTTTGTGTAAAAAGGTGTTGTGACGTTTTTTGCATATCTTGCACGTACCTGGAAGCTTGCATGCGCGCGTATTATGCCCTTTGCGCAAACAGTTGGGACACAACTTTAGCTCGGACACTAATGAAAGTCTATCATCAATAGATTTCGATTGAAATTGTGAGCACTCATAATTACGATGACCTTGACCACAGAAAATACACTTGTGAGGGGCAGTTGCTGATGAGTCGCCCTGCTCAGCGCTAACGAATGACTTAGTATGAGAAACGGGATTTTGTTTGACGCCTTGATTGTGATTCGGGTTTGACTTTATATTTTTGTCTTGTTTACTGCGATAAACAGACTCTAAAACTTCAGCGCGGCCCTTAATAAAAGTCATGAAATCATCTAGGCTAGGCATATCCGAAGCATTAACATTAGCTTGAATGTACTCCTCCCATTTAACACGCGTGTTGCTGTCTAATTTCGCTGAGACTATGAATATGATCAGGGTATCCCAATGATCAGTTGGCTGTTTTAAAGTATTTAAAGCACGTAGGTTTTTTGTGACGTGGTCTACTAGAAATCTTAATGACTTGTCAGACTCACGCAACGGCTCAATATTAAACAAAGACTTCAAATGATTATTTATTAATTGACGAATATTATTAAAACGCTCACAAAGAAGACTCCATGCCTCAGGATAATTATTGTCGCAAACTTCTAAATTACATATTACACGAGCAGCTTCACCTTCTAGATAGGAATTTAAATAATGAAATTTGTGTATATTTTTTATTTTTGTATTATTATGTATCAGAGAACTGAACGTATCACGAAATTCCAACCATTTGTTGAACGTACCATCAAACTTATTAATTTTAATGACTGGTAAACGAAAGCCGATAACTTCGTGATCATCTTCATCAGCTGTGTAAATACTGCTATGCTGAAGCGACGACTTTTTTGTCGTACTGCTTACGGAAATAATTTCCTGAGCCAATGCGATCGAATTGTGGAAAGCTTGTTCGATAACTTCTCTGGTATCCAATTCTA